AGGTTGGGGTTTTTTCCTGCTGGAATGGGAAAATCCCCAGGAAATCAGATCTAAGCAAAGATTGCAGGGGGAGGGAGGGAGGGGAGAGGGACTGAGGGATCAAACTGCTCCTCCCTCCATCACCCTCCAGTGAGGAAAGCCCGACCCCCCAGCAGTGGGTACCAAAGCTAGGCAGCATCTGGGGATTCCCCCCCCAACCCCCCAGCTCCTCTTGGAGACCCCAAGGGAGGTGGGATGGGGGAGGAGAACACTGGCAGGGAGATGAGGGACACAGGGCACTCCCAAGGGGCAGCAGATGCTGAGAGCAGGATGGTCCATGACCCTCTGAAGCTGGGCTGGGGTGGGAAGGTGTCTGGGAATCCCTGCAGGGCCCTTAGAGCACCTTCCAGTGCTTGGAAGGGGCTCCAGGAAAGCTGGGGAGGGGCTTTTCATCAGAGAAGATACTGACAGGACAAGGGGTGAGGGTTTGAAACTGAGAGAGGGGAGATTTGGGTTGGGTATGGGAGGAAATTCTTCACTATAGGGGTGGTGAGGAACTGGGATGGGTTGTTGATGCCCCATCCCTGGAGGTTTTTCAGGCCAGGTTGGATGAGGTTTTGTGCAACCTGGGCTGGTGGTTCCTGCTCGTGGCAGGGGGGTTGGAACGGGATGATCTTTGAGGTCCCTTCCAACCTTCCTGACTCTCTGAAAACTCCCTGGGCTGCCAGGACCCATCACACCTACAGGAGAGGGGAAGGCCAAGCCATGGGTGGGGAGGTGTTTCCTCCCCAGACCAGGGCTCAGCCCCTCACCTGATCCCCTGCTGCAGTTCACCCAGGCCCTCCTCTGGCCAAAAACCATCTCACACCTTTGATCACCATTCCCTGGAGCTGCTGTGCTGGGAGGTGAGACCTTCCCTGCTCCCACATCTCCAGCCCAAGGGGGATTTCCTGGCACCAGCACCAGTTTTACCACCTCCCCTCTCCCCCCAGTTCCCTGTCCTAACATCCCCACCCATGTTTGGCCTCTTGGTGGCAGAGACAAGAGCTGGAGCTGGTGCTGTTGACCTCCTGCCAGGGATAAAATCAAAGCCTGGGGGTTGAGGAGAAGAGTTTCTTGGTTGTTCAGGACCCGAGGGGTTGAGTTTCAGGCGCAAATTCATGCGAAGGGAGGAGGTTCCTGCTG